GTTATAATTATTATTGAATTAGGAGGAATTAGATTAAGTAGATTAATTAGATGCTTTTTTTTCATGGAAGGGCTTGTAGAGCAGCAACTGTCTTTCAGAAGAGTTTTACACTGAGAATACACACAAGGGTGGGTTTTGTCTACTGCTAAGCAACAGTGGCAGAGTTGTTGAGCTTTCATTTGCAGGATCTGTCTGCTGAACACCTACGGAAAAGAAACATTCGAGTCACTTGGTGATATGTGGACAGCCTGAGGGATCAAAGATCCTTCGTGCCGCTATGAATCTCTGTCTGTGCTGGGTGCCTGTTGAATGCTCTCAAGATCTTTGTGGTCTTGGGGACTGTTGGCAGCAAGCAGGATCAGACTGCAGCAACTGGAAGACCTTATCCCTTGACAAGTGGCATTTTGCGTGAGGGAGGGCTCTGCCCTCGTCTTGGGCAATAGATAGATCAGAAAGGTGAGCTGAGTCCCAGACCTGCTTTTGAATTTTACCTGGTTTAATAACTGACATTCTTGTCAGTTGGCTGGGTTTTTACTGTGCAGATTTTCTGCTTGTACTACTATAAAAATATTTTTATTCGCAATGCTATTTCCATTGGGAGATTCTTTGTCTCCAGGGTAACTTCCCTGAGAGTGGTTTTAAAAGTTAGTCTGTGGAAACTACTGCATCTTGTTCTGCAGTCTTCAAATGCCCCTCTAGACAGTAATAAAAGATGTTATGCTTTTCCTGATACTATTTTTGCCCCGGCTTGGCACCTTCTTATTGTCTGAGAAGTGGGCAGAGCCAGGGAGGTGTGCTCAAGGATTTAATAAAGACAGTGTGGACTTCACTGTAACTTAGTGATCAAGTGAGAAAAGACTAGATGGGACGTGGCATGGCAACGTCACGGAAGGCGCTCTGTGACAGCGTGGAGACTGGCTACCGGCAGAGAAGGAAGGAAAAGAACAATTTTTAGAGGGTGAGACAGGAGTAAGGTTGCTTGAACAGCTGGCGTTGTTGAGCATGAAGATGATGGAAGGATGTTATGGAGGCAGAAGCAGGAGGGGGAGAGACTAGCTAACATCACTGGGTATTTTTAGGAGTGCTTCCTGAGAGTGCTTTCTGTATATAAACAGACAAGGCTCCAGGAGGCAGCGGTGAGGGGAGCGGTGTAACTCAGAGATCCTTGTACCGCAAATAGTACATTGCAAAGAGCAAATTGTTTGGCTTTATTAAACTGCAGCCTCCTGCAACAGATCAAGGGTCTAGTTTCTAAGCAAAATAGTTGTAGCCTAAAGAAAACTTAACCGTTGAAAGCCTCGCAGGCCCTGGATTCCTGTTTGACTTGGCCTCCGGAGCTGCATATACTCTTTGAACCTCAGACTATGAAGTAAATTTGCGAAGCATAAGCTATTTTGAAGCCCCTCTCCACAGTAACACAGAGCTCAGCCTTGTTACCAGGAAAACAGAAGACATGAAAAATAATGGGAGGAGGACAATGTCTGGCAAGTGGACTTGACGGTGCTTTGCAGTTCTGGAGGGGCTGGCAGGAGCTGGGCAGATCTGACCTAAGCATCAGGGTTATGCAGAAGAAAGTCACCTGGTCTTGGCGGGCAGTGCCAACGTTAAAGCAGAAGTGGGAGCTGCTGCCTAAGTGGAACAGGCCGGTGTAATGCAGAACCAGGGGATCTGCCTGTGAGACCGCCTGGCTCCATCCCTGCCTACAGGCGCTGCCTGTTACTTGGGGAGCGGTACCCAGAGAGTGGTTGTGTGTACGCTGAAGGCCACGAACAAAACGGTTTTTCTGGAATGTGGTCAACTTAGGTTTGTCCAGCGGCTTGTTACTCAACCCTGACAAGTTAGGCTTGGTCATGCTTCGTTTTTTAGCATTATGGTCTATTCTAGTTCCAGTTCAGATTTTTTGTCTTTTTTAAGAGAAAAAGGGTAAAAGCTATGACTTGAGAAGGTCACATAAGAGGACCATCCTTGCCGCAGCGACCTCAAAGCTACCTGTGCAAGGAGGCATGAATTAACGCACCTGCAAGGAAAAGGCTGATGCTCTTAGCTGTTGACACCACACATGGTGTGTACCTGGGCAATATCCTGGCTGGCATTTCCTTCTGTGGGAAACCTGTCCTGGGCAGCATCTCCTTCTGTGCAACTTGCTGAAAATTTCTGTCCTCTTTTCCCTTGGCTCTTTGCAGAGCAGATTTATGGTCCCACTTTCCTTTTACAAATAAAACCCTAAGTGCAAATCCAAAGGATAAATAACGCAGTGCAGACATGCCCGCAGCAATATTCTCTGTATTTATCATTGCTAAAAGTCTGGGAGGAAAAGCTGGTGAAGGCAAGATATCTTATGTGAGAAAACTATTCTCATGGTTTCCTGCCAGCTCTGGAGGCTGGAGAGCAATCTCGTCGTGCTTTTCCCCAAACATCCTGCTGCAGCTCGGGCAAACTCCAGGTGCCTCATCAGTTCTGGATCTGGCAATTGCAGCACAAGATATACCTGGATCCACCCCCAATACTGTTTTCATTTTCTTTGCCTTGATTTCAGCTGTAATTTTAAGAGACTTTTGTTTAACTAAGCACGGGGGCAATAAGCCACCTCAGTGTGAAACACATGTGGGTCAGAGATTAGGACTGCTTAATTGTCACAGCTACTGAGCCTGCACCCGAGCCCCTGCCAGGCCACCTGCCTGGTGCTGCAGCCCTCGCAGAACCCAGGGGAGGTAACGGTGGGCTCGGGTACCGTCGTCTGCCGGAGGGTGCGGAAACCGCAAGGAGACGGGGGGACCTGCCTCCCGCTGTCCGAACTTTGCAGCAATGCGACGTGCTGGAACCAGCCCAGGCTCTTCTAGAAAGGGAATTTTATATCCTGGTGGTGGATAGCTACTTTAGTGTCTTTGAGTCAGTGTTTTGACCTCTTGTTCTTCATTGTTTGGGTGTGGGGGGTGTGGGTTTTTTTTTTTTTCAGAGAAGAGGAGGCCTCCGCCGTACAGCGGTCACAGTGACATCCAGCCAGCAGCCCTGCCTTGCCGGTGCCCTGGCTCTCCTGGCCGGCTGCAGCGCCAGTCACGCATGGCCGGGGCATCTGCGGCTGTCCCTGGCCAGCTGAAACAGTCCTGCCATGGCTGACAGGCCTCAGCTGGGGTAAATTTAGGCTCGGTCACTCAGAGATGCCGTTCACTTTAAATTCCACCCTGCAGCCACAGATATTTCCAGATGCGCAACCTGCTGGGAATTACGACCCGTCCCGATGGGCTCAATGCACGGAGATCTTGGACCGTTGTGTTTCACGCGCCCCTTGTCCTGCAATATAGTCCCATTTGGCTTGGCGTAGGCTGCGTTACGGAGACTTGAAGGGAGCGGTTAGTAAGGCGACTGAAAAGACTAGTGACAAAACAGCTTCGGCATGGTCTGCAATAAAACAGGATCCCCAGACAGCCTGAGGTGGAGGAGACCCAAGTGCCAGGAGTGGTTCAGCCACCATCCTCACTGAAACCTCATCTCCTTGCTGTGGCAGCCAGCGAGAGGTCTGTGAAAGCTATAACCTCACTGATTTTTCCATCATTAGCTATGACCTCCCTTCTGGCCGCGTACTCCAGTCTCAAAGGATGGGACCCTTTCTGGAGGGAAGACCCATCTCTCTGTTCCCTGAGAGGAAATTAGTCCATAGCATTGCTTGTGTTTTACTTACTGTGTTTATAATAAAGTGGAAACACCACCTGGATTTCTCTATAGGCTCTGCAGGGAAATCATGTTTCCATATTGCATTATGAGAAATGCAGTGGAAGTGTGCTGTGCTCAGTTAATTTTTTTTTTAATGTATGGAGGCAAAAGAAACTCGAGTTCAGAACAAATATATGCTTCTCTCTTTCTATTCGACATCCATAGTGCTATAAATACAAACTGCAGGGTACTTTCAGAACTGCAAGCCTTTAAGACCTCTCAAGGGAAAACATCACACCAAATTAATCTGCCGTCAAGTGGAAATTCTATATTGTTTGCATTTGCCAATGTTCTGTATGTGGCTGTAATTGCACTGAAGCAAATATCTGCTTTGAGTTCTTCACAAGATTAAATGTGGCCAATTGGGCGTAAAAGAGTAATCAAAATGCAGAGCTGCTGCTTTGGATTTATTAGAGGCATTGCTCATTTTTGCTCTGACATGATGACACTAGGTTCTGGCTTTCTGTTAAAACAGGGAAATTTAGGGAATGCGATTTGGAGCGCTGGATACCGAGCCAAGAGGAGGATGTTTCTGGCCACTGCTGCCACCCACTTCCCTTAGGCGTGCAAGGGGACACCCTCCTTCCCTCTGAGCAGCAGCAAGGCTGCCGATAGCTCTGCCCTAGGGTGCAGCGTCTGGCTGGGACCTCCAGTATCGGCTCCTGAGGATTTCACGGTCTTTTTAAGTTCTGCTTGCCATGGAACGGAAGCTGAAAGGACTTTTGAAGGCCCCAGCAAGGAGCCTCCACGGCTTGTAACAGAGACAGCCCAAGGTCTGAGTTGGATCCTGACTAATGTCACCGTGTCAGACTAAAGGAGCATGGCAGCTTGCAAAACCTGGTCTCGCCCTATGCCAGCTGAATGTGAAACGTTAAAGATTTGCTTAAAAACCTCATGGTTTATTTTTCTTTTTACTAGTTTAGCCATTTTCCCTCCTGCCGTATAAATGCAATTATAAGCAAGTAAAAAGTCTTTTTTCAAGTTGACTGCGCAGCCTTTTAATTCTGCATGAAAACCCAACTGCTCCCTATGCCCTGCCCAACAGGTAGTTAAATCAACAGGCCCAGGTGGGCAAAACTGCCAGTTTGAATCCTTCTTTATTTCATTTTCTTTCAGTTAGTAGGCTTATCCGGAAAACATGCACCGCACTCCTACCAGCTTGCTTATGCTCAGCCATTTCCCGAGGGGTTCTCAGTGCAGCTGCAGGGCAGTCCTGGCAGCATCCTTGCACTGTCTGCAGTGAGGGCAGCACCTCCCGGTCCAGCGCCAGCAGACATGCCCCCTTGGCACTAGCAGGCCTCCGCTCCTCTGCCTTTCCCTCTTCCTAACTGGAGGTCCAGCTCCCAAAGCTGCCTGAGGAAGCCGGAGTTGGGGCAGACCCCCCTGTGTGAGCGCACCGTCTGAATGGCGTCAGCGAGGGACATGTCTTCACAGATCATTAAGAAAGCGAGGACGAGAGTTGCAGATCGGCTGATTCCCATGGCGCAGTGAACCAGTACTTTGCCTGGAAGAAAGGAGAGCGAGAAACGCAGTTACTCCAGGAGCCCGCACGGTGCGGTTTGTCGTGCTGGAGCAGGGCTGGAAGCGGTGCGATACCGGCGCTGGGCGGGCGGGTGCGCTCAGCCTTGCGGAGCAGCGGGGGTTTTAATGGCCGGGGACGGAAAAGTCACAGCTGTAGCGGCGGATCCATGACTCTGCTTGTTTGGGCTTAGCTGTCAGCCTGACGGCGTGCCCTCAGCCCTCCTGGCCAGCTTGTCGTCCGTGGCGTCCCTGCTTGCTCACACGTGGGTTTGGGAGCGATGCGCTTGCTGGCGAAGCCTCGAGGCTTCATGCCTGAAGGCTGTGCTACGGGAAGCTGCCTCGGTGGGTTGCTCGCTGCCGGAGGGCCCGGAGACTCGGGACTTCAAATGTGCGACGCGCAGGAGTGCTCGCTGTTAGTACAAGAAGGCTCCTGGTTTTCCGCGAGCTCTTTGTTCTCCTGTTTAGTAATTGTATGGCTCTACAAAAATGCAGTTTAACAACAATACAATTTATATCCAGAAAAAGATGAAAATCGGTAAAAACGATTCTATGTTGCTTTATTCCGTTTTCAAAGGAAAAAAAGCATCTCAGATGCTGCTTCTCTGTAAAATGTAAGGAGGGATAGAAAGAATGAAGGGCTTTTCAGGGCTAGTTCCTTCTCTTGTTTGTGCTTACAGCATCTTAATTTTTCTATTACCAGGGAGTGAGACAAAAATATCCTTGTTGGATGATGAGCCTAGATCCAGCCAAAAACCTCAGGCTGATTGCCCCCCTCTCCCCAGTGTTAAGTCTGGGTACTTTGTGCACAGCTTTTCATCTTAAATCCCATTTTGTTTGTGGCAGAGTATTTATTTAGCAACCGTTCCCGTTCTGACTAATGGTGATGGCATAGCCACATGCTCGGAGAGCGCGAGCATGTGTTGTAAAACCCGCTCTGGCCAGCAGACTGAGAGAAGTGTTGAATTCCACAACGTATGTGACACAGCCACCTTTCATTATCCTGGCATGAGAAATCTGAGCTCAGCCCTAAGATAGACACGTCTTCGGTAGAAATAAAGGGACAAATATAGTCTGCAAGGAAGCGGCGAAAACAGCTCTGGTGACAGCAGACTCGGACCGGGCACCGAAACCTTTGGGGAAAGGAAGAGGGTTTTCCAACTTAATGTCAGTTTTGCAAAATTAGAAGATCAAGTGGTTTCTATTTGTGTTTTCCCATTCAGATACAGCTTCACAGAATTTCCTGAGATACTGATGCCATTATTCAAGTTAATGGAATCGACAGATAGATGTAATTTAACTCCATGGGGATTCTTGGAAGTGAAGTCCTACTTTTTATGGGACTATGGAGAAATCCTTTGCACCCCTGCTAGAAGATAATGCTAATTTGAATTTTCACTAGACTTTTTTTTTTTTTTTTAATGTGCTGCACTATCATTAGCCTTCACACCAACCTTGTGGGATATGTATGCTGTATTACCTTCCCCAGAGGAGGCACTTCAGACCCAAATAACCTAGGTGCAGAGACTTCCAGAGGAACATAAAGGAGTCAGGAGCACAATTTCTCTTTGAGAAATACTGTGAATAGGGCTAAGTCCAAAAGGTCTTTGGAGAATCTTCTTGCTTCAGTAGTTTGCAGTAGGCCTAACTGCAATGTAGTGGCAGGGACTGGGGAAATCCAGACACTCTACCTAATGCACACCCCAGATAACAGAAGCCAAGGAACAACATGTTCTGAGAAATTTTCTTGGAACCAGAACCGCTTTCATTTTTGCCTGAAAACTTCTAAGTTACCAGCACTCTACAACTAAAAGAAAAATAAATTATACTTATGGTTTGAACTGCAACAGGAGAGGGGAAAAAATAAATAAAAAAAAAACAACAAAAAGAGATGGCCTTGATGTTGGATTTGATTTTGAATCACTAAATATTTTGAAAGTCAATCTAAATTTGGCCAGAAATTGGATGGGTGACAAGAAACTTGCTGTTCTGAACCTAATTTCAGTAAAATTGTTCTTGGGTCCATTTTTTTTTTTTTTTTCCACCCAGATGGAGCCTTCTGCCTTGGAAAATACTCAGCCCCACCTGCAGTCTGGAACTGAAGACCGAGCTGAGCACAGGTATGGATGCTGCCATTAAATATTGCCTGATGTAGTTTTTTGGGGGCACAGAAAGTGGAACAAATCCCAGGCTCCTGCTTGTACAGGCTGGCTCCGTACCGTTTTATATCTAACTCTGTGTCTGAGAGGAGGAGGAGGTGGTGAGATAAGAACACACTACATTTTCTTCCCTGCTTCTCTGGCTTACCTGCACTTCGAAAGAGTTCTCCTCGATCACCAACTAGCTTTAGAAGGTGTCTCAGCAAAAAGCTGGACAAGCCCCAACTACTGACCTCGGACATAATCCACACGGCTCTCCAACACACGTGTTCCCGTGAGGACGCAGGTACGTTTTCTCTTTCACATGTGCAACATCTACTCCTCATCGTTAGCCTTTGTTCCGCCACACGCAGAGGTTACGATAAATGCCGGTGCACTGACAATAAAATGACTGTTTGTTGCAGATAAATCAGTCATGTGAAATGATTTAATTAATGGGAAATTGCTCTAATGAAAGCAGATTTGAATTTACGACGTGATTATCTGTAGCCAACAAACTGAACGTTAAACTTGAGCCGGGAAACAAACGCGGCGTTGCTGCTTGGTTCTGTTGAGAGGCTCAGACCCTCGTCTCCTGGCGGTAGCTGTAAGCGGGGGAAGCGACGCTCCGACCCCACCATCAGGTACCGCATTTGAACAGCACCAAGGCTCGGGCTCCCGGGCGGCTGCCGGACCACAGCCCAGTGGGAAAGCAGCGGTCACGGAGGCAGTCGTGGTGCTTGCCCCTGCCGTGGGGCAGGCAAGGAGGTTATAACCGGATCTTCGACACCGCGGAATCTGTGCCACAAGTCGACATCCTCCACCTCTGCCTTCCTTGCTCCCATTTGTTTTAACACACGGTGCAAAGAGAAGTTGGACCGATCCCACATTACAGGGCCGTGTCGCAACCTTCTCCCTGAGCGTGTAACAGGATCCCCTTAGGAATAATGGGATTAACTGAGGAGAAGTAGGGGCACTTAGCTTCTGGCGTTATTAAATCTTGCAATACTTCTTTGAAATGTTGCGCTGCACATCTCAAGCTACTTTTTGCAGAGGCAGACAATAACTGTCATCTGGCTGGGATTTGTGCAGAACAATAACACTTGGTTTTTAACAACGGATTACGGATATTATATCCAGTTCATGCCTGCTGTAACTCCACTGACATCAAAGGGTTTGCACTAGGGATAAAGTTTGCACATTCAACTTTGTTGGCCAAATTCAAGTTGGGAAATTCAATGTTGTTGAACAAATTAGTCATTAAAACACATAATATCTTATTGTCCTTTTGCTACTCATCATTAGCTGAGCTAAATGTCCTGAACTAGCCCTTGCTTTCTTGCAGGATGGATTCAATTTGGCTTAAGACCAGGCTCCAGACCGTCACCCGGAGTGAACACCCCAGCTGCCCTCGCCCCATTGAATCCAGCAGAATTATGCTGCTCACCAGGAGGAGAGTTCAGCTGGGCCAGTGGGCCCCAGGGTCTCTTCCCACTCCATTGTGGTTTTCTCATCTCCTCTTAGGTTTTAGCTGCCATCTTGTAGCCAGGTGCAGAACCAATTGTCTATTTCTCAATTAATCAAGTGCCTATTTTGTCACAGTTGAAAATAGCAAGAAGCCTACCGAGAGCTTTAAATGGTGCTGTGTCCCTTCTTCCCAGGCCTCCCAGAAGACCTAAGGCCTGTCGTCTGCTGGAGGCTGGGAAGTTAAACTGATGTATGTAACGCAGCTACAGCAGAGTAGAGGAGCCTTTTCTCCTGAGTTAAGCTTCTTTCGTAACCACCACCACCGCTGCGAAGGCAGGAGAAGGGAGCATAGCTTTCCATTTGCTCCAGAGAAGTGGAAGAAGGGAAATGCCTTTCAGAGGGTTTGCAATTTCAGGAAGTTAATGGGTGATTTTAACCTGCCTGTTTTAAACGTTTGGAGGTCAGTAAAAGGAGAAGCTCTCTACTTGGGAATCTTTCTCGCTGCACAGCACAAGTTTAATAGTTTTCGTGGCATGCTTTCATCTGTGCTCTCAAGTTCTCTTTAACGGTACCAAAACCCGCTGGGTTACACCTAGGTTCAGCTGCACTCCAGAAAAATGCAAATTGTACAGACGGCCACGCAAAGGGGCAAGACTGACATTCAAGGGGTTGCCCCCTTCCTGAAGCGAAGGAGGAGCGTGAGGGAACAGGCCGGTACTTCCCCGATAACATGTCTTCCCTTGCAGGGACGGGGGCATGTTGTGCATCAGCTTTCTCCTGGCTGAGCCTTCCCAAACTGTTCTGTTACGTGGGCAAAGGAACAGCAGGGCCGTACTGAAGGGAAGGCAGCCAAGGAAGTAGGGTTCATAAAATAATACTTAACACGGCATGGCTGCAATAGTAGTGCATGGATTCCTTCATCTATACGACCAAGATGATGAAAGAAGTCATTCAGGGTGCGATGCGGCCGTCGACCACTGTGACAGGAATAGCAATAGTGGGCAGAAGGGAAAGGGCAACCTTCCCAAAAGACTGTCAGCTCCCAACTAGGAGCATGCGAATGCACGCTCCCTTGCTTCCTTTTGCTCATGCTCTGGCATCTGGGTTTGAAGAAATAGCCTTAAAAATAAATTCCTTCTATCACCAAAGACATATTCTGTTCAGCTAAGGTAGAAATCTGGAGTAAATCTGTCCATGCTGTTTTCTGGACTTCTGGTGTAAAGCATCAGAATTTTTCTTCAAGCACGACCGGAGTAACAGTTCTTACTTAATTCTAATGAGTATTTGATTCATAGTTTTAAATATGTTTGTGCCTCTCATAGTCTTAACTGTGACTTACCCTCCCAGGTGAAAAAGATAATTTAATTCCATTAAAGAAAAAGATGTTGAATTTGCTTGTGATAGTTAAGCAGCAGTCTTAAATGACTTCTCAATCAAACAGAAGTACCTCATTTAATGTGAACAGGCCTCTTGTCACCTGGTATAATTTTTTTGTTCAGCATCACTGCTTATAATAAATGCCATTTTTTCTCTTCTTCTAAATGATCTGAGTAACAATCTCCTCCCTGTCTCATCCCTGCACAGGTCATGGGTATTTAGCTGCTAAATTTCTGTACCTCAGGAAATCATGCTTCCAGAACATCTTGTTTATATATTTTCGAAACTGTTGCACTTTCCTTAAAATGATGAATGTCAGCAACAGCTGTATATGATTGAATTTCACCTTGTCTCCATTCCCAGAACCCTGCTTCCATATGGAGTTCAGTAAAGCAATATCTAAAAGCATGGCAGTAGGGATAAATATGCGCTGTAGACATGATGAGTTCATTGTGTTTGCCTTGAGCCCTAACTTGTTCTACATTCATAACTTTCAGTATTTGGGCATGCATGTTGCTAAGCACTGGGTTGGTTTGCTTTTGTGGCCACCATGATTCATCTGTTGTTTTCTGTCTTTTATCAATTGATTTGGAACTTTTTTTTACACACGCATGGAAAGATTTTGGATCTTACCTTTCTTTGGAGCACCACCAATAATGACTTCAATTGCAAATAGCGTATGCCGTAACAGAAATGGGTGCAGATCCAAATTCCCCAAATATGCTAGTGGTTTTGAAATCCAAAATGCAGCCCTCAGTTTCACAAAGGCAAATACTTTCTAATGGGATGGATCAAGTCCTCCAAACAGCAGTAAACTCTGAGGTATCTAGCATGGAGGTACGCACAGTTCTCAGTTACTGTGTCTCCCTTTCCTAGCCTGTACAGTGTAGACCCTTAGATGTGTAGATCGGATCTACTAGCTGCATGTGATCAAGCTGGATAGTTAATATTTTAGGACCCCTGTTGATATTAAAGATGATGCAACCAAAACAGTTTGCTGAATGTATAACTGTTCTCTTAACCACTTACTTTTGAGTAGGCATCTATACAGTTTTGTGGCCCAGTGGAGACTTGCTTTTGTGAAGGTTTGGCCTCAATAGTCATGATCCCCCACTAGCCCCAGGCCTCTGGCATTGTACCTGGCCTGTGTTTAGTGAGTCCAAGGATTTTGCAGGTTATCTTCCTATTTCAAAGCTATACTCTTTCTAGCAGCAGCATGACATTATCTCCCGGCTGGTGGTGTGGCTTAGGTTCTCTTCTACAGTTTTGCTTCCCAGCAAATTCTTCCCTCTCCTGTGTTTGTAGGACCTGTACAGATTATGGCATTATAGTTGAGCCCTCTTACTGAAATATGATGCTTGCCCTTGTCTTTTTACCCCATCCCAGCTTTTATTTTAAAACCCATCACTAATTTGAAAAGATCAAGTATATGTGCCTCCTCCCCGGTCAGTGTGTCTATATAGGTAATAAAGGATACTTGCTATTTTGTCTGTTGCTATTAGAGATGTCGAATAGCACTAGACATAGGGAAAAGCCCTTTGAAAGCCTGTTCAGTGCATCCTTCCCTGCTTCGGGGGAACTCCCCATCACTGTGGGAGTTCAGGAGGCAGGCACGGTGCTACTTGGTTTGGGTAACTCCCATTCTTACCCACATCTGCAGCTGGTTGTTTTTTGCTGAATACTATTTGATAACTTGCCCTACTTGGCTCTTATGCAGAAGGTATGTAACATGCACAGATGGTCTAGTTACCTCTTGGGGAATTCAGTGCTGCTTTTATGTATCGAGCAACTGGGTAGAAGTAAATGCTGAGATCAAAGTTTGGGTTGTCCTCTGCTTCTACTCCGTAGTAATCCACAGGCAGATCTTTGTAGAACTTGGGTCCAGTGTCGATATGAAATCGCCCAGCAGCAGCATTCACAACATGGGAGATGCCCATTTGGCTTAGCTGTGCTTTGTCACGAGCGACGTACCTGGAAGAAGGACGGTGGGTTATATTCACCTGCTGCATTACAGTGTGGGGTAGAACATGCTGGCGATGGTGTAGTTTGTTAGAACCACATGAAGTTGTAGGGGCTATTTTCTGACAGGTTGATCAGTTCCAAAGTGTCCACCAAAATGCTTCAAGACCGAAGTGGATCGTTAAGAAACTGACTTTTACATTTCCTGCATTTTTCTACCAAGCGTCAGTTTAGGTTGTGCTTCTCAACTGATGAAAAATAAAAAGGTGGTGGTAGCGATATTTCTGCACAAGCCAAGAGTTTTCTGGTTTGCTTTCTCACCAAGTCACCTCTGCTGAGCATCCATCAGGTCAGGGGACTGATGCCATCTGGCAATGTGAGGAGAAAATGAGGCTGATCCTGTTTTACCTAGCTCTGGCATGACCGCCCGCAGTACCGGTGTCACGGCCCCACCAGGCTCTTGCTGTGTGGGACTCCTGTACTAGTGCAGGAGGAGAAATCAGGAGGGGGAGTATTCTTTTTGGATACTTAGAATGCCTTTTCTCTATGCTACAGCATGCTATGCACAGTTGAGCCTGGCTCAACACTTAGACTTACTCTGGGGGGTCTCCAAACTAGTGCCTAGCTCTCTTTATTTAAAAAGAGTGGAAGATCTGGGGGGAAACAGGGTGGGGGGCGAGAGTTGCATTAACACCTTCAACCCTTCCCTCTCTCTTACAGGTCTCCCACGTAAAGGTTGGGCCAGACTTCGTCCACGTGCCCCGTGGGGTGCGCGCGTGTCCAGAGCAGGCGCCGCAGCTCCTCCAGGGACGGCGTTTCGGCACTGCTCTGGCTGCCAGGCGTCCGGCTTGAGGCGCTTCTTATCTTGGGGCGCAGTAAGTCCCCGCTGCACAGGGAGTCCCAGGCCATCCTGAAAGGTGGAGGGCAGACGTTCACCACCAGCCAGAGACGCTTCTGAGGTCACCCTCTCTTCCTCTCACCCTCCCTTACCCCTCACAATGCTTGCCCACAGTTACAGTATTTTGGGGGCAGATAGTGTCGTCTTCTCACGTGTTCATGTGCTTATCACAGCAGAGGCCATGACAGGACTTGGGAATACTGTTGCAATCTAAATGGCAGTCCAGCGGCTCACGTAGTCGCATGTCGTGGTTCAGGCAATGATTTTGAAGGCTGTGCTGCTTAAATAAAGTTTCAGGTTATTATGGCAAATTGGAAGCTAAAGCTTTTTCAAACTACTAGGCTCAGGGTCTCCGTAGGCTTATGTTGACCTGATGTCTCAACCCTTCTTTTTAGGTACGTCAAACAGTCGATTAAAACTTCATGATCATAATTTTAAAGGTTTTTTTCATAGTAGTATGGACTTTCCCACTTCCTGGCTGGAATTCCAGGCACTATTACTACCGCAGTGAAACTGCCTAGTTCTTGATATGCCAGCACGTATCGAATGGAAAGCTCAAATGGAAAGAGGTAATGCTACAGAAAATGTATTGTGTGAATGTAGCTATGCAACGGGTATAGAAACTAGCTAATAATTTGGTATGCTGAGCTTTTCCTTTAACCACATAACTAGGACATGCTTATATATACTTTATCTGATTTGTCTTTTATAATTTGCTCAACAAACAGAGCTGAGCAGAAGAGAATTGGTCATGCAAAATCTTATTCACTGGTTAGCTCTTAATTGACAGCTTCAACAGGAAAATTTTGATTCTTTCCAATGGTAGTTGCCAGCCATACTTGTTGTCCTGATGACAAATGTTCGTGGTAGAAAGAATCTGCAAGAGTAAGTTATAGTGATTCTAGCTGCCATTTATATGAACATAATGTATTTTTTTAATAGGTTGTTTCATTTGCATTCCTCTCCTCTCTGCCCCTTCTAAGAACTATCCCATTTCTAATCTTGAATTACTTTAATTACAAGGAGAAATACTCTTTTTAGGCATCAGTTTATATCTGGAATTACTCTGCTCCCATGTGGTACATTTCTTTTGAAGTAGTGGTTGCTTGTGTTAGCTGTAGATTTGAACTGTTGGGAGGATTTTTGAAGAGAGCAATAGAAACTCTATTTTTACCGGAGTTATGTTTTAAGAAATTATTAAAAATGTCTATGTTTTTCTATGTTCTAAGATTTAATCGCGTATCTGCATTACAGAGGTTTTAGGAACTCTGTCAACTCATGCAGCTTTAGAACAGAAGCATTTGTCTAGGACAGGGGTGAAGTTGTAGTCAATGAGTCAAAGTCTTGTTCTGCCACCAGCTGCTGAATGTCTTTTGCATAGAAGATTAGGGGGTTAGTTTTGGGGTAGAACAGTCCAGAACAGCAAACCTGAAATCTTTTATCTTTCTGGTGAACAGCTCTGTCATTTACAAACAGGTTGTATTCATGTTCAAGCGACTGTGTTGACAGTTTCTTTTCAACTACTAACTGTGGTGAAAGGTTTTCCTAATTTCCCAATAAGCTACTTTCGCTAGCCCTAAGTTCACATTTTGGTGTAATTTTGTTTAAAAATATTTGTCTTTGCATGCACAAAGACAGAGAGAGAGTCTGAAGACTAGCCTACTTTGGGACCCTGTTGCACCTTGATATCAGTCCACTGTTTTGCTGAAGGAGAAATGGAGCAACCAAGTCCCTGAGATGGCCACAGAAATGGAGGAGGGAAGCAGTGACTGTTGTGTCAGTGTTAGGCCTCTGAACGATGACTAGAAGCCACCCTTCTGCCATGCATTTCAGTGATTTGCCTTGCCACGCAGTTGCCAAGAGGGGACCTCTCCTGTCAGTACACCACCTTCTGCCACCTTCACAGGCAGCCTTGTCCTTTTGAATACAGTAAGTTTTCACCAACTAACGATGTTCCCAGGATGGTCTCGTATTGTTTGTATTACAAAGAGCTCCGCTGTGGAATGTGCTCCCTTCCCAAATGTGCATATCTCCTCCAGTGTCAGCTTTTACTGTGAAAACAAAAGCAGATGTTCTTGCCCATTTTGGATGGCTTTATGCAAGAGGAGGCATGGAGGAATTCCCATACTGGAATGGCCATCCCCCATCGATGTTGATAGCTTCTTTGATGCTGGCCACCCCAGTGCCCACAGCACCAGGTCTGCCCAGCTCCTGCTGGTGATCTCGGACACCAGCGTGACTTCTCAGATCCCACGCAGGAGGTCTGCAGCAGAAATGGGACTTGCATTTCCTGTGTCTTGACCACAGGACCATCTGCCAATTCATTAAATACTTTCAAGAATAACAGCCTCCTCCAGTCCTTCCCACCTCATAATATCTGCAGCAAATGTTCCCATTTTTTGATGTATCTCGTTCCTTGCAGCATGGCTAATGACCACTCTAGGGCACTTCTCACTCCCTGTAAAGTTGCTTTCAACTGTTTTGGTTTTTTCTTGTTTACTACTGCTTGTTATCCCTTCCTCTCGCTCTCTCCACTGTATAAATACCTTGATTTTCATATTACCTAGCCTCTGAAGACTGAAGGCTGCTGTCAGCCTTGCTTTCCTAAGCCTCACGGGAGTGGGGAATGACAGGGCCCTGCCCAAAAGCCCTGGTAATGTTGCAGCATTCACCCACAGGGCTCTTCTGGGAGCTGTGCTTTCCAAGTCCGTAACTCCATCCCTCTAACAGCTGGGTGGACAAGTCTGAAGTATAGCACACCTTAGGAAAAGTGGTCCTTCAGAGATTTCTTTTTTTTTAAGTTGTCTTTCTAGAAAGGAACATAACTGTAGGCTTGGCAAAAGAAGGTAGTGTATGCTACCTGGATATCAAAAGTTGTGGAGCAATGGCTTTATAAGATGGGTGTGCTTCTTCAGAATTATCCTAACATGACTTTCAGTTTGTGCTCACATTGATCTTGTATTATGGCTAAGGAACTTCCTCCTGCTGA